GACTAAGATACATTTCAGCCCTTGAGGAGCTTACAGTTTAGTGAGTAAAACTCAAGAGCTTTGCTTTCCTTTCATGTGGGCATTTCTTGAGGCTCCCTTTGTGTTAGGAGATAAAGAAACGGCTGCAAGGGTCAGGTATGTTTTTAGTACCATGAGTACTACGATTTTTTTAAAAAGTGACACTAATCTTGTCAGCAATTGTTGGGTAAAAAATGTGGCCAGTTCTGACACTCTGTATTTTGCTATTTTAAGAAAAATACTATGAAGCAATTGGGTCACTAGAAAGTAAGAATCTGTGGATGATACGACAGTCTTAAAAGGGAGGGGATCAGTGGGGACCAGGCCCTCAACTCTGATCAGAAAAGAGCATAAAACATCTTAAAGAGATATGTCTGTTCATAGGCTGGAACTGTGTAGTTCAAAACCTGCCTTTTTTAGAGATCTTTTAAGACCTGAGTGTTCCTTTGAATTAACAGCTCTAAAGTCATTGTCCAAGAGGAGTCATTATTACTTGATCCTTTGTAAACCACGTCCATCCCCTTTTAGAGTATTCTGCCTTGGCACACACAGTGGGAGATTATAGCAAACAAGTTCTTTGTCAACTTGGACAACTTCATCTCAATACTAAAGACCTTATTTTAAAGCTTCTTGATGTTAAGAGTGCTTATTTTGATCATCTCCATGTGAGCTGGCCATGGAAAGGTGGGATAAGTTGTTCTCCTTTAATCTTTTATTTAACTAAGGGGCTTTAGAATGCCTAAAATAATAATAATATCAGATAATCATTAGTATAAAATGAATAAAAGAGACTACAAATTGAAGACAGCCTGAATGTCTGTTCTTTATAAAGAAACAATGCATGACCACGTTTTCACCTGTCATTAGCAGCTGGTATTTAATAGCTGTGACTTAAAACTTAGTAGCTTTAGAAAGTATGTAATTACACCATTATTAAAAATTAAAATTAAGAATATTTTACTTTATCACATTTATATATCGCCACAATATAATCAATTATATACATTATTTAAAATCAAATTGGCAAAGACTTACTACAAATTCACTTGAATGGTGGCTACAAACATCACAAAGAATTAATCGGACTTCTATTTGTATGTGTGAGAGAAAAATTCTAAAAACCAATTTACTTTTAAAAGAAATTAAACCAGAGATAAATAAGAATTATCCAGCAAAAAGGAAAAGTAACAACTATCCTATTTTAAAGTTTCAGTTAGATAAATTATGTTTCAAAAATCTTTACATAAAAACTCTAATACTATCACCCATAAATCATAAAATATAACTGGTAGTATATTTATTTTTTTACCCAATCACATTTTAGACTCATAATAAAAATCTACTACTTAGAGAAAATAAATCTGACAATTTATTCAAACATTGTTACATACGAAGTTTTAAGAAACTGTAAATAATTCTTAATACTCTCATTTTGATTTTCTGACTTCTCAAGACTATTTTGTACTTCTTTCAAACACACTTCCTGATGTTGTGCTTTCTAAAGAAAAAAGGAAAAAAATACAGATAAGCAATAATAGCATTCATTCCAAAGGAGCAGAGTCATAACATTAAAAACATATATACAATAACTAGATAATTCTTTTTGATTTTTTAAAAGAATACTCACATCTGATGTGTTCATTCTTAGAGCTCACTCTTCTTTAAAATTAATAATTAAAGCACACATATGGTTGATTTTCACTGATATAATTTATAATACACATTCATTTAGCACCAAATTATTACATATTTAACATAATTAACTTAATAGGTTCTTTAACAACTGTTATAATTTCACATGTAACATGATACATTTTCATACCAGTTTTTGCCATTTTCTGTCTAAAAATTCACATTTTATTCCAAAATAATTAAATGTCTTAAAAGTTGACAGAACTCTAGTTTTGATAATGTGAACATTTTATTTCTGGAATCCCTTAAAAAATAAAAATAATTCTTCACATTAAAGTTGTTCTTTGAGGAAAAAATTTAAAACTGCAATACATTTTTTTTTAACTAAGGTGCATATGAATTCTTAAGTAGGTGAGTTCACTGACAATGCTTTAGATAACCACAGGTTGCAAATATCATCTAGCTTCCAATTAAAATATAGACACCTAGACAGAAAAGAGAGAACTTTTACATCCTTCATATCAGGTGTTCAATGACACCTGATACCTTTTGAAACTGAGCAATGCCCATCTCAGGAAATGGGGCAGGTAAAAAATAATGTGATAGGCTTAGCAGTACAAAGTCACAGGATAAATACAATGAGTTTTACTCAACAATTTGGAAAGAAAAATAGTAACACACTTATTTTGTAGGGTAGGATATAAAATGTCAATGGATTTTAGGATAATACATAAGACTTCAAAGACATTTCAGGCTTCAGGAGGGGTGCCTTGGATTAAGCTGCTGAGGTCATCCTCAGATCTGTACATCCATTCTGCGCCACCCCATTAGGGTACTTGGACAGAAAATACAAAAAGGCCTGCAGGCGAGCAGGGCACTGTGGGAGACACCAGGGATAAAGGCAACTACGAGACATGCTCTCAGAGTGCTTACAATTCAAATGGGGCTAAAGCAGGCATATTAAATACTGCCCACTTAACTGTCCCCTGGAAGGCATAAAACACACAAACTAATTTTTCAGCAATGTTTAAATCTATGCTTAGAATTCTAGAATTTTACTAGTACAAAAATTATCAGGTTTAACAAAACATCAGATCTTTATTTTTTATTATTATTATTATACTTTAAGTTCTGGGATACATGTACAGAACGTGCAGGTTGGTTACATAGGTATACACATGCCGTGGTGGTATGCTGCACCCATCAACCCATCCTCTACATTAGGTATTTCTACTACTGTTATCCTTCCCCTAGCCCCTCATGCCCTGACAGGCCCCAGTGTGATGTTCCCTGCCCTGTATCCATGTGTTCTCATTGTTCAACTCCCACTTATGAGTGAGAACATGCGGTGTTTGGTTTTCTGTTCTTGTGTTAGTTTGCTGAGAATGATGGTTTCCAGCTTCATTCATGTCCCTGCAAAGGACATGAACTCATCCTTTTTTATGGCTGCATAGTATTCCATGG